GGGGGGGGGGGGGGTTCTTTTTTTTTAATTTAAGTTTTATAAAGCCAAAAGTGTAATGTCAGGCAAAACCAGCAAAGGCATCAAAAGCAATTCCATTCATTCTGAGCTTCTGCTCTAAGAATTTTTCTTTTACAGCCAATCTGCTTCACGATCTATTGCAATAATTCATCTTCTCTTTACAATTAACCTACAGTTTCTTTATCCAGACTTTAAGAAACACTAGCCACTTCCCTGCAATATCTAGTAAGTGGATAGGATGGACAACTCTAAAAAAAGGGGTAGCCTGTTAAATCTTGCCTTTAATGGCAGTTACTGAAGTTTCACTTTTTCTTTTTTCTAATAGGTAGGTTTATAGTCCAAATCAAAGCAGAAATGCAGCACATTGAGTGTAACCTAGTATCAGTCTACCTAGCTCAGACACCAATACTTTTAACTGTAGCATGGACTGTATAAAACAACTCCATAATCATTCACACACCCTGAACTCTATGGCACCTATGGTAGAATATGCAGGTACATCTATGATGCTGTAAATCATAGCTCTGCCAAAAACGCAAAGCAATGGCAATGGCTTTGTTACTGCAAGTGACATAACAAAGAGTGAGACGATGACTAATTTTTTATCTTTCTAAATGCTTACTAGCTTCCTCCATGCTCCTGCTTATTTATCCTAAAAAGATACCTTACAAATTGAAAGAAAGGTATATTTTAGAGACATTAAATTCTGAAGATGAATTTTAGAATTCTAATTGGGAGAGCATCCATCAAATGAAACTCTGCATTTCTACATTCACATAAAAATTCACAGAAAAAGTGGGCAAAGTTAGGTAATAATAGAAATTGAGTCACAAGAAAACTAGTTTGTTTATATTGTTTCTTGTCAAAATACATAGAGGGAACTGGGCCAGAGATCTTGCTGTTTTGGCTTATTCTGGCTGAATAAGAGTCTTGTAAATAACTTAGAAAACCTGAAGTATTTCCACACAATTCTCAGCTTTAACTTTTACAGATTAGAGATTATTCAATTCACAATAGATTTGCAGGCTTGGCTAAACAGAAAAACTTCTGTTTTGCAGAAATCTAAGCACAATGTATGCTCTTAGCCAAAAGAAAAGTCACTATATGAAATCTCTCTGCACAGAGGTCAAGAACCATCCAGCTCTTAAAAAAAAAAAAAAAAAAAAAAAAAAAAAAAAAAAAAGAAAAAAAAAAAGCTGGTGTACCTCTGCTCCAAAACCCACAATTTAGTCTAACCACAAGAGAATGAAAAGTTTGGGAGGGGGATTTCATCCAGTGCAAGTTGTCAAGAGGTAAGAAGAGAACACTGTTGAAGAAAAGTTTTGCCTCAGAGATGCATATTGGAAGCGTAGCCAAGACTTCTGGTACTTCTTGCCAAACTTCTTTATTTCCCCAAGCCCTAAACTGACACTTTCCAAAATAATACCCTCAAATGATAATAGCACTGCATTAAATGAGTAGTATCTGTTCTATAAATACCGTGCTGAATCTAGAACTCCAAGACAAACCAGCAGGTGAAGGGATTGACTGAAGTTGTCTTTCAAAGCCAGGTTCGGTCCTTTCTGTCTACAGATACCTTGAGCTTATCTACATCATTATAATTTCTACACATTTTACATATGTATACATGTATGTCTACAGGAAGAAAAAGTATTATTATACATATACCACTGGGCATCAGTTGATTAAGATAAGCATGTGCATAATTTAAATGCTATGCTCTGTATGTGACTATTACCTTGTAGCTTTCCACTGAGAAAACCAAACAGTGATATTAACTTTTTCTACATTTATTTTTTGTCTCTACTACCTAATGCCAACTAAGGATATTTGCTATTAGAAGTAAAGTTCATTTAATCTCTTTTTCTCCCCATACTCTTTCTTTTCCAGGAAAGAGTTCCAGTCCCCCGTCAGATATACACAGTATTAACTGGAGCAAAGAAAGGGAAAAGTTTATTCATACTTCAACTAGAATTTGTATAAACAGGTCAAGACATAAAATGCTGATCTAATGTGTGTGTATTAGTACTCAAATACTGTACCACAGCTTATGCCATTTTACACCAGGATATGATATAACAAAATAAGTTATACTGTAAGGTTTGTTTTATTAGTCTTGAATATATTTATAAAATGTTGAATCCATATAATTTGTGCTATTTCATGAATACTCCAAAGCTTACTACAGAAAGTTTTAACTAACCATGTCTAAAAGTTTCAAAAAGTACTGTCAAGCCCATCTCAGTAGGAGAAGCATTCTTTTCATCTCTTTATGCCATCAAAAGCAGAAATGAAGATGGCTGGGGTTCTGTCCATGTTTATAGGATCATTTCTGTGGTAAAGAGTATCATCCTTTTCCCAGAAAAGATAATTCACTGGTTCAAAAAATAAGTTAAGAAATAACTGCCTTGAGGATGACACTATAAATTAATTCAACAATAAATATAATAATTCTATTTTAAGCAATCAAATAAGTTACCTGAGTTACTTAAGATCCACTAGCAGGACTTCATTGTTAGTGAGGTTTAAAAAGATTAATTAAAAGCATGAAGATAAAAGTGGTAAAATATGGCAAAAATGCAACTTGGAGTTTTGGGGTTTTTTTTGGTTTTGGTGGGGTGGGGTGGTGGTGTTCCTTTTTTCTTTTTTTTGTTTTGTTTTGGTTTTGTGTTTTTTTGTTGGTTGTCCTTTTACAAAAAGGAGACCCTATGTCAGATCGTTCTGATATTACTCTTTTATAGGTTTATATTATGTAGAAGATCAGTTGAACTTAAATGAACTTCAAAGTATTTGCCATTGTACTAGATAAACATGTTTATATGAACAAAATAAGATTGAAAACTATTACCTACTTTGGAGTTCCTAACAGCAAGAAGGGCAGCAAAGGTTTGTTTTGAATATGGAATTATATGGGCAAAGTTATCTGTCTACAGAAATTTTTTACAGCAGCAAAAGTTAAGAGTTTTAGTTCTTAATTCTGAAAAAGGAGCAAGAAACCTAATTGAATTCAAGCACGAACTTCATACATTAAACAAAGCAATACCATTTGTCTAACTCATTGGGCAACTGGAGAGACCTTGTCCCTTTCAAGTCAGGGTGTCTGCTAGTAAGCCTTCTCTGATGTTTCAGTCAGATCATAGGCTGCTGCTGACATGACATATTCTAGGATGA